TCCCTCACAACCCCCAGCAGGAGGAAGAGAACCTAGAGAAGCTCACAGAACACAGGGAAGTGCCAATTACAAAACTGGAATAGCTTTTTCTGCAATAATTTCCCTCCAGCAAAAGCAACTGCCCTGAAGCTGAAACACTTTGCAGGGCTCCCAATGTCTCCCCTCAGAGGTGGGAAGGATGAATTTTGTTTAAAGCTTTATTTACAGCTTGCCAGACAGTCCCTGCAGGCTTTTCAAGGAAAGGAACTGTCCCCTCTAAGGGAAAAGAAGCACTTTTAGGCCCAGAGGAACCCGAGAAGCAGGAGGAGGTGCTCTCACCTTGCTGGGCTGGAGGCAGCAGGACACACAGTACTCGTAGATGCTGCAGCAGCCGTTGGGAAGGCAGCTCTCACAGCTGAACAGCTTCGTGCTGGGCACGTGCACGTCACAGCAGCCATTCACCAGCAGGTCCTTCCTCTCACAGATGTACCCTGGCAACAACAGCAGCAGTAACAACTGGGCAAGACACACCCCTTTCATCCACAGTAGGAATCACGTTACTTAAGGACAGGTTTATTTGTCATTTAGCAGGTTATGATCCCCCTCTGTCTGGCAGCAGCAATTCTTTGCAGTGACACTTAGATGTTTCAATCAGCCTGGTGTTATCTGCACAACTAATACATGCTACTACTCTGATGTGTGCTCTGTGGACACTATGAGTGTTTAAATGCAGAATTTTGAAGTTCTGATTTCTTTTTGGCATAATTCCTTGTTGGGAAAGGGGAAGGGGATTGGTGATGATTGTACTGGAGAAAAACCTGTGACGTGTTCTCTCAACAGCTCTGTGTCTGGATAACACTCCTTACAGATCAGTATGAAGGGACTCAGATTTATCCATGCAGAATAGCTCTAAATTAATTGAGTTAGGGAACCATCAGTAGTACAGAACCATGTGTATGTCCTTATGGAAACTACTACCATGGTGTTAGACTGTGAGACAGAGCTGTAATTTTTAGAGACCTCAGGAATTGGCACCAGCCATAATTCAGGCAGTGCCAAATTTAACATTGATGCAAATCACAAAAAAAGATGTGGTGGGTTTTCTACAGCCTTGATTTCTGGTCAAGAAAGATCCAGTGCCTGAGCACAGCGGGGAAGTACTTGTGTAGGGCAAGAAAGGATCTTTAACTTTCAACACTTAAAACAAGTGGTTAATATCCTTGGGTTTCAAGGGTCAGATGAGGTTGTTAACTGTGACTGAGCACTAATTACACATGTCCTGAGCTGCCTCCCTACAAGGTCAATAGTGTTTCCTCAATTACTCTCCCTAACACCTCTGACAGTAGGAACACACTGCAGGGAGACACAAACAGCTCTGCAAGCAATCCCAGTAAATGGAGCAGGACTCAATGTTCGTGTTCTGTGCAAAGATAAGCGGAATTCTTTGACTCTGAGGTGGCCCTGGGAACAGCACAGCCACACTCACACAGCCCTGTGCCTGAGCTGAGCCTGCACAGAACCAAACCAGCAGTGTGTGCAGCCACAGGGGAGTTCATCCAGCCTGGGGACAAAATGCCAATGGCTGAGGAAAAATGCCTTAATAAAGAGCAGTTGTTCCTTGGAAGTGCCACTGACAGACAGACAAAGCAGCGTTCAGCACTGCCACGTACAGAACAAATTCTTAGTGTCAAACATACCCAGTTCATCCGTAATGAGGAGCTTCCCCTGCACAGAATTCCTGCACTGGTTACTCAGCTGGCTGCTGTTTCCCGGGCTGAACTTCACCTTCCACAGGATGGGCTGCTCGTGCTCCTGCACTTGGAGGAGATTCCGATCTCTCACCATCCTCTCTTCCTGCAAGGAAAGACAGTCGTGCAACCAAACATGCAAGTTCCTTCTGCCACTTCAATCCACGTGCTCTTCCCACAATTAGAAATGCCTCATAATTGTAAATTCCACAGCACAGCAAACTCCAGCACCAGTGGAGTAACCAACATACGACTTGTAGTGGGTTACTTTGTGCAGTACACAGGAAGATACACAACCCAGTACAACAGGGATTGTAAATTCACCAAGGGATCAGCCAACACAGCTGAACTCAGTCACTACAACCACAAAAATGGTATAAATTATCTTAAATAACCACAGCTGCACATATTTTTCTTTGGTGAGTCCTTTGCTAGTGGAAATACCGCTCACAAGAGATAAAAGAATCACAGAATCAGCTGGGTTGGAAGGGACCTCCAAGATCATCAAGTCCAACCCTTGATCCAACCCTGCTGTGGTTCCCAGCCCATGGCACTGATGCCACATCCAGTCTCATCTTAAAAACCTCCAGGGATGGAGAATCCACCACTTCCCTGGGCAGCCCATTCCAATGGCTGAGCACCCTCTCTGGAAAGATACAGCAACAATAACCAACAACAAACAACAACACAACAAACACCACCATACAACAAACATCAACATTTACAACACTACAACAAGCAACAGCACACAACAATAAAACAAACAACAGTCCCTTCGAGATTTTCTTTTCCCAGTTTCAGTTAGAAACACTGTCGCTGTCAAACAGTATCAGGCGCTACTATTTTAAACTCTTGTGTGTTTAAATTAAACTCTATTGTGTTTAATAATTACAATGTAGCTCTTACAGCGACTCAGCACTGGTGAGGCCACCCCTGGAGTGCTGTGTCCAGTTCTGGGCCCTCAGCTCAGGAAGGACATGGAGGGGCTGGAGCAGGTCCAGAGGAGAGCAACGAGGCTGGGGAAGGGACTGGAGCACAAGTGCTGTGAGGAGAGGCTGAGGGAGCTGGGGGTGTTCAGCCTGGAGAAGAGGAGGCTCAGGGGAGACCTCCTCACTCTCTGCAACTCCCTGACAGGAGGGGGGAGCTGCGGGGAGTTGGTCTCTTTTCCCAGGCAACAATCAGCAAGACAAGAGGGCTCGGTCTTCAGCTGTGCCAGGGGAGGTTTAGGTTGGACATCAGAATTTCCTTCCAGAGAGGGTGCTCAGCCATTGGAATGGGCTGCCCAGGGAAGTGGTGGATTCTCCATCCCTGAATGTGGCACTTAATGCCATGGCCTAGTAACCGCAGCGGGGTTGGATCAAGGGTTGGACTTGCTGATCTCTGAGGTCCCTTCCACCCCAGCTGATTCTGTGATTCTATGATTCTATAACTCAGGAGATCAGTGTCAGCAGCCTCAGGACCGCAGTGCCCGCGGTCTGAGGGCCGTCGCACCCCCCCAGCCGCCGCTCACTGACCTGCTTGAAGGTGCTGGTGATGAAGTAAACGAGCGAGAGCCCGAACACGAGGCCGAGCACCCAGCGCTTCCTGAGCAGCCGCCGCCACAGCACGGCCCCGCAGGGCACCATGGCGGGCTCAGCTCCAGCGGGGACTGCCCGGGAGCCGCATCCCCGGCGGCCCGGGAGCGGCGGGAGCCCCGGGAGGCAGTGGGAGCCCCGGGAGGCAGCGGGAGCCCCGGGAGCGGTGGCGGCCCCGGCGCGGCCCGAGCGCTTCCGCCGGCACCGAGCGGGAGGCGGAAGCCGCGGTCGGGCGTGCGCGGGGCGGGACCGGGATCGGGATCGGGATCGGGATCGGGATCGGTGGGTACGGGGGCACCTCCCGGGCCGGGCAGGGCAGGGCTGGCTCCCGTCCCCCTGGGCACGGCGCCCCGTGTGCCAGCGGGAATCGCCCGCCTCGGCTTAATGGGGGAAAAAGGCCTCGCTTATGTCTGTGTGTGTGTGTACGTAGATATATGTGTGTGTGCATAGAGCTGTATTTATAGATCTTTCGGTATATAGAGATAGATATAAATGTGTATATGTATGTTATAGATAGGTATAAATGTGTATATATATATATATATGTTATAGATAGGTATAAATGTGTATATATATGTATGTTATAGATAGGTATAAATGTGTATATATATGTTATAGATAGATATAAATGTGTATATATATGTTATATATAGGTATAAATGTGTATATATATATGTTATAGATAGACATAAATGTGTATATATATGTTATAGATAGATATAAATGTGTATATATATGTTATAGATAGGTATAAATGTGTATATATATGTTATAGATAGATATAAATGTGTATATATAGGTAAACAGGGAGAAGTGTATACATAGAGATAGATGTGTATATATATCTGTAGATAGATACAGATATAGATATGTGTATATATATCTATGTATATAGAGAGAAATGTGTATATATGTCTGTATATAAGTATGTGTAATATGTAATATGTATATATACATATATATGTATATATATATCTATATATAATAATAAATATAATAATATATGTAATATATAATATAATATATAATAATAAATATAATAATAATAAATATATATATGTTATATATACATACATATATGTGTATATGTATATTATATACATATTGTGTATATGTAGATATTATATATATGTGTGTGTTTATATAATACATACATATACGTAATATATAATACATACATATACGTAGTATATAATACATATAAGTATATATAATAAATACATATATGTGTATATGTATTTATATGTAATATATGTAATTTATGTATTTATATGTAATTTACAAATATATATAATATACATAATATGTATATATATGTATGTTTACACATATATGTATATATGCTTATATACATGTATATAAAATATTTATGTATATGTGTATGATATATTTGTATAATATAATATGTAATATATGTAAGTATATATGTGTATGGAAGTATATATGTATACATATGTTTGTATGTATAGAACTGTACTTATGTATATATACATATATGTGTATATACAGGTGTACATATATACATCTAGGTTTATATATAGATATGTATATGTATATATATAGATGTATAGTTGTGTGTATATAGATATATATAGAAATATACACTGTGTTATTTATGTGTGATACACATTCTAAGGTGTATGTGTGGATATACTCTCTGTGCTGTGGTGAAGATGACTCTGTGCATGTGTTTCTTACAGGTGTGCTGTGAGCACTGGGAGCCAGGGGCATTGCAGTCATCCAGCTTGAGGGACCTGTGCTGAGTTTGAAATCTGGAGCAGCTTGGACTGTCTGAGGAACTCTGTGTATGAGCTGTCTGCACCCTCTGGAGCTTCCATCTCTCCCACGGTGGCACCTGGCACCTCTGGATAAAGCTGTTCAGGTACTGTTAAAAAATGTCCAAGTGCAGCAAGATGAAAACCCCTAATCTGGAAAAAGCAGGAGCAGTCAGTACTGAAGCTGAATCTCTTTGGGAACAAAGGCCATTTAAATGTGATCAAACCTGTAGGCCTGTGGGGAGAACAGACCATTACATCTCACGATGTCCTGCACCTTCAGGACTTGGCATTCATGTCACTGTCCCCTTCGTGGCTGATGCCAAAAGAGAAAGTGTGTCCCCATGGAGCTGAATGTCATTGTGGAGTGTGATTTCACCCCACATCACAATCTAGACTTCTAATGGTCTAGAAAGGCATGAAGGATTTTCCAAGTGCCGGAGTTACCTCTAGTCTGGCTCTGGCTCTCAGCTCATAGCATGGGAAGATGGACAGATGTTTTTTATAAGCAGTGACCTCAAAATTGTTCTTAGGCAGGACAGCTTTACCTGCACAGGCCAGCCTGTCTTGGCCTGTTCATCACACCTTAATTGCTGTTTTGGTTAAAAAAGAGTATAATGTTATATATCAAGGCAACAGATATTGTCAGGGTAGGATTACTGCAGGGAAAGCATATAAAAGATTACTGGAATACTAAGTGTTGTTACCTCAAATGCAGGTTATAACAATTGAAAAAAAAAACATAAATCTATTTTTTACGTATAAAACTTGCAGATCCTTATAAGAACTTAGGCTGTGAAAATCCAACACTAGCTGAAAGGTATAGCAAGAGATTAAAAACCTACTGGGACTTACAAGGTAAAAATTTTGTAGTTAGGAGAGGTTTTTAAAAGAGTATTTTCATGACCCGGTTATATTTTTTCATCAAAGATGTTTACACATTTGCTTTTTTCCTCCCTCTCAGTTTTACAAACCAGGTTTCTGCAGAAGAGGAAGAAGGGGTTTCATTCCCAAGAGCGGATGTTGGGTGGCGTGTCACAACGGGAGCCACCCTGTTAGATGTCCTCGAGGTCTTTCCCAGGACATGCCATCACACAGCTGGACACTCCTTGGGACTGCCCTGTCCTGCCAAAGGGGACCTGACTAGTTCCTGCCCTGCCTGGAGAGCCGTGTCCCTGTGCTGCCACAGCTTCCGAGTTGTTCCTGTGCAAGTGGGCTGAGGAACAGCCGGGAGCCGGAGGGGCTCTGCCGCAGAAGGAGGTGCTTGGTGCCAGCCATGTGCCCAGCTGGGTGGCACCCCCAGCCCCCCGAGGCCGTGGGCCTGTCTCAGTAGCCCCCCCGGGATCTGCTGCCCCGCGCCGTTGATGTTGAGCGTGTTGTGTTTCAGGGTGCTGAGGAAAATGCAGAGGCGGCACAGCAGCAACACGGACAACGTGCCTCCGGAAAGGTACAGCTGCCTCCCTCCTCCGGGCTCCTCTCCAGAGGGGAACGTTCTGATTTAAATGTAGGGGGGGATTGAGAAGATGGAAACTCAAAATTGAGTTTCCTCAGTCCTCATCCCTGTGGATGGGGTGTGGCCAGGCTTTCTGCTCGAGTTCGGGAAGTTTGGACACAGGTTTACTTTTCCCCCTCACGTCAGCATTGACTGCTGCCCACCACAGTGTTCCAGGATGATCCAGTGTGGCACATGAGGAGCTGGCTTGGCATAGGCAAGACATTTTGGAGCGCTAATATTGCTGTTTTGGTTAAAAAAGAGCATAATATTATGTATTAACTCAAAAGAGATACTGTCAGGTTAGGATTAAATAACATTTACTGCAGGTCAAGCATAGAAAATTCCTGGAATACTAAGTGTTGTTACTTCAAATGCAGATTATAACATTTGTTAAAAAACCATAGTATCTATTTTTTTTTTCCTGTATAAAACTTACAGATCCTTTTAAAAAGAATTTAGGCCCTGAATGATTTGTTGCACAGTCTTATGGGGATCCTGAGTACAATCAACCCGCAAGGATCAACCTGTATGAACAGAAACTATTTATACTTCTCTTATTAAAGTGTGTAAAAAGTCTGCTGGGCTGAAGCTTTCAACGACTTAGTGTTTTATAAAGAGTTTGAGTGATCCTTTACATCTTCCCAGAGTCTGTATCCAGCTTCATGCATGTGAGTATTTAGATGCAGAATACCTCTAATTCAGTTCTGTAATTGTAACATCAGCAAGGGAGCCTTGCCACTGTTGTTGTTCTGGTGCTAAGTATTCCCTAGGGCTTTCCCAGAGCTACAGCTTGACTTTGTGGGTTTTTTTCCCAAAGAAGAAACTAATCTAATTAAGACAAAGATGGAACTAACAAATTTCATTGTTCTGGCTGAGCTGAGATTATAAGTGAAAGATCATCGGGTTTGCAAGTAGAGTTGCACTTTGATGCCCTGACCCCTGCTAGCATGGCACTGTTCTTAATTTCAGGGGAAAAGAAAGCCACCTCCACCTTTTTTTCTGCATGATACTGCCCAAGCCTCAGTGCAGTCTGTGGGTTTTGTATCAGCAGACAAGGCTGGGGCTTGAGAGGCACAGAAGGTGCTGAATGGGCCTTCTTGTCTTCTGTGCAGAGCTCTCTGAGTCTGTACAAACCTGTAAGGCACTTCAGGACCTGTTTGAATAGTCAAAATATATTCAGGGTGTGTGTCTGTTATTGAGTGCAAAAGACAAGCAGAGTAATGTCAGTTGGCTTTTATAAATCCTTCTGGTTTTTAACAGGTTAGGTGCATATTATCAGAGAGTCTGAAGGTTTCTAAATGTAGAACGAAATGCTGTTGCCACTGGCATTCCTTCTGGTTAACTTCAGCAGCCTCACAATTTCATCCTTGTTTGCTTTTAAATGTGTCCCAGAGTAATTCCTTCCTGCTGAAAGCGCAGTCCTGTATCCTGGTAGTATTATTCCAAACAATAGTTGTGTCTTTATTTGTAACACTGGGTTCCACCCAGGCTGTTTGTTAGTGTTCCCAGACCCAAGCACTGTCACATTCTGTCCCCGTGTTGTGTGTACATCCCTGAGTTGGAATCACTATTTCTAAAGTTAGAGACCTCCAGGGGTTAAAATCAAGAGAGACCAAAGCCCTGCAACTTGTCTTATTTGTGAGCTTTGCCTCTTGCTGACCTCATTTATTCTTTACTCTCCTTCTGCAATTTAGAGAGGTATTTGCTGTCTGCCAGGCATTTACTGCCTAATGATCATTCTGCTTGTTACCTGGATTGTTTCTTGCCATCTAAACTTGGTTTGTATTCATCTCAGCACCACAGGATTGACTTCAGGTGAAGAAAGCCTCTTGTCTTTTGGTGTTAGGAAGAAGGTATTTAGACTTTTCGGAATCTGGAAAGGATCAGTGCCAGAACTAATTCCCTTCAGTTCCCAGTAATTCGGGTACATCTATGTCTAATTTGCCAGGAATATCAAAACAGAAGAGTTTCTCTTGACCCATGAGCAGATCCTTTATTAGTTCAGGGGCACACAGGCTTCTCTTCCCCAGTTGATTGTGTCTCTTGTTGGTGCAGTTCATCACTGGGCAGGCAGTGATCAACCTTAAATAAAGACAGAAGGTTTTGGGGGTAGGTCATTGCTTTAAGTTAGCTTAGTTCATTTGTTTCTATGTAATATGACCTGTCTTATTGTGTCAGGTTCCATAGGGTTTTATATGTTTTTCTTTAAATACTAAAGTCAGTGTGGATGATGTTGAATTTGGTATTGGATGTGTAATTTCTTTGGTTCCTCCAAAAGTTAAGGGAGTGTTTGGGAATTTTGTTCTTTAAATATTAAAGTCCGTATAGATGATGTTGAGTTTGGTGTTGGATGTGTAATTTCTTTGGTTCCTCCAGAAGTAAACAGGGTGTTTGGGAATTTTGTTCTCTAGATGAAGGAAGTGGTGCATGTTGGTCAGATCTTTAGAGGTTCTCTGATCTTATGAGTGGTTACTGGCCTCCAGTTCTGCAACTGTGACTTTCCAACAAGCACACAGAGGGAAAACCATCTGTCATGTGCAGACCTGTGTGTTCTCAAAGTGTGTGAGAGTGGCAGTTTGGACTTGACCCTCTCTTCCAAGTGCCCAACACCATAGCAAAAGCCCTCCTTTTGTCTATGAACACATGGGAAGCAAAGGGAAGGAAAAAAAAAACCAAAAGAACCGAAATAACAGAACTAAAGCAATATATATATGTATTTACACGTATATACAATTACAAAACTATCTACACATAAGGAAGAAACCCCTAACGCCCCCCAAAAACAGATATATGCAACCAATAAAGAACTATCAAACCAAAATCTTAATACTTTCCTTAAGTAAACAAAAGCCACTCCACCAAATCTCTCCTCTCGAATCGGAAAACCCACAGGCCTCACAGGCCTCACTCCCACATGAGTGAGACCAACTGCGGGGAGCCCGCTGTCTCCAACTTCACCAGAAGAGATCTGGCCAACTAACTCCCTCCAACTTCTATTTATATTCCTACTTATGTAAAGAATAGCATGGAATATTGGGATATAGGTACTCCCTTGGTTTTGACCTGGTGTGGTAGTTAGTCTAGGCCTTCCTTGGTGACCAGTTTGTAACCAAGGAAGTGCCCAGATTTACCCGGTATTCCCTACAATTTTTACGTAAGCCAGGGTATAAGAAGAAAGAAGGAGAGGCCTTCACCCTCTCTTTCCTTCTGGCAGCTTTGGAGGTGCAGGTTTCCCTGCTGTTGAGTCTGTCGTCTTGGGGACTGAGGCCTAGTGAGGCCTAGTAAGGCCTTGCCAACCTTAGGAGACAGAGGTTGCTGGCGGTCGTTCCAGCACGACTTTCTGTTGTCCCAAGGAGAGTAGTAAGATATTCTTTTGCTAATTCTTTTAGTTGCTAGATCTTGGGCTATTGATTGTATATGTTTTATTTTGGTTTTGTTCTTTTTTTCCCTTCCCCCTTCCCTTTCCCTTTTCCTTTTGGAATTGTACATATATTTCAATTGTATATAACTGTAATATAAGTGTAAATATATTTTTATGTATTGCTTTAGCTGCCTCTCTCTCGTTTCGGTTCTCTTGGTTTTTTTTCTCTTCTCCTTTGTTTTTTTTTTTGGGGGGGGGACTTCTTGTGGTGAGGTTTGGAGACTTGGCAGGGAGCCAGCTTCAAACCAGAACACCTGGTTGCCAGAAAAAGGCCTAGACCAAACCATTGCCATGAGGAACACCAAACCATTGCCATGAGGAACACCAAACCACTACAAAAGACCGCGGAGTTCCATGTCACTCAGTTTTTTAATCGCTTTGCTGTCGTCCCTCCGCAGGAACCGGAGCCAGACGGTGAGTTCCGAGACCAGCGTGGATGAGAGCGGTGTGTTCGAAAGCCTCAAGGCCGAGGCCTCCTCCCCTCAGCAGCTCTTCTCGGGGCTGGCCGGGATCCCCTCGGGCACCATCACGGCCGCGCCCTTCCAGTCGGGGTTGGTGCTGGGCTCCTCGGTGGGAGGCGGCGAGGTGTTCATCCAGATGCCGGCCCCGCGGGAGGAGGGGGCCGGCCGCGCCGAGGGAGCCCCGTTCCACCACCACCGCCAGCCCTCCCACCACTTCCACCACGGCCACCACCGCGGCTCCTCCCTGCTGCACATGGCGGGGGGCGACCGGCACGGCCACGCCGAGGAGGGCCCGGACGAGCAGGGGGGCACCCCGGCCCCGGCCCTCTCAGAGCTGAAGGCCGTCGTCGGGTGGCTGCAGAAGGGGCTTCCCTTCATCTTGATCCTCCTGGCTAAAGTTTGTTTCCAGCACAAGCTTGGTAAGCACCCCTATCCTTTCTGAACCCTATTATGAAGCTTTATCAGGCTGTGGTGTCCCATACTCTTATTGATAGAATCACAGAATCATAGAATCAGCTGGGGTGGAAGGGACCTCAGAGATCATCAGGTCCAACCCTTGATCCAACCCCACTGTGGTTCCCAGACCATGGCACTGATGCCACATCCAGTCTCATTTTAAAGACCTCCAGGGACGGAGAATCCACTCCCTCCCTGGGCAGCCCATTCCAATGGCTGAGCACCCTCTCTGGAAAGAAATTCTTTCTAATGTCCAACCTAAACCTCCCCTGGCACAGCTTAAGACCGTGTCCTCTTGCTGATCGTTGCCTGGGAGAAGAGACCAACCCCCCCGGCTCCTCCCTCCTATCAGGGAGTTGTAGAGAGTGAGAAGGTCTCCCCTGAGCCTCCTCTTCTCCAGGCTGAACAGCCCCAGCTCCCTCAGCCTCTCCTCACAGGACTTGTGCTCCACTCCCTTCCCCAGCCTTGTTGCTCTTCTCTGGACCTGCTCCAGCCCCTCAATGTCCTTCCTGAACTGAGGGGCCCATGTGATGGTGTGTGGTACTTTGGACTTGGCTCCCCTGCCAAGTGCTGAAGACCACAGCAAAGGTCTTCCCCCCACCACCCTTTTTATGAAGGCAGGGGAAGGAAAGGGAAGAAAAAAAACTATCAAAAAAACCCCCCAAATAACAGAACCAAAGCAGTATATATATATTTTTTACACTTCTATACAGTTACAAAAACTATATGCGTATAAGAAAGAGAACTCTCAACACCCCAAAAAAACCCCAGAAAAACAGATATACGCAATCAATTAAAGAACTAGCAAACAAAATCTTAATACTTTCCTTAAGGAAACAGAAACCACACCACCGGCTCTCTCTCTCGAATTGGGAAAAAAACCAACAGCCTCTCAAAAAAATCCCCAGGCCTGCACTCCCACAGGAGCAGCCCAGCCACAGAGAGGTTGCTTTGCTTCCTCCAACTCCTCCTCTCTGAGAAGCGATCTCCCCTCCAAATTCCTCCCCCCTTCTATTTATATTTCTGCTTATGTAAAGAACAGAATGGAATACTGGGATATAGGTACTTCCTTAGTTTTGATCTGGTTGCCAGGAAGAGGCCTAAACCAAACCACTACACAGTGCCCAGGTGTAGCCTGGCACGAAGGGGACACACTGAAATGTACGGGATGAATTCACCCTACTTTCAGCCCCAGCTGTTCTAAAAATATTAAAACCAAAGGGAAAAAGTGCTTGATGCTCGCCTGCAAATTGTACTAAATTACTACTTGCCCTAAGAATTTTTATGGCACCAGTTAAAACTGAACACTGACAAGTCCAGTGAGTGTGACGCAGAAAAATATTGAAAGCAGCAGCTTGTCACTTCTTCAGAGACAGGATTTGTTAACAGAGCTTGAAAGGATGTTCACCAGCTCCCTGCTCTGAAGGCCCTCACCTGAACAGCAGTTGTTACACCCAGCAGGATATCTACAGGTAGTTTAGTACATGAACATCTTTGCTGTCCTGACCAGTTCTGTTCCTTTTCCTGATCTCCCCTTGACATTCCTGTGAGGGTGAGGATGTTACCAAGGCTTCTCCCTCAGAGCTCTCTCTAGGAGAGGTGGGCAGAGCTTACACTGGTGACTGGCAAAGGTTTCTGTGGAGCACAGAAGGGTTCTGAGGAATGAGACACTTGTCTAGCTGGTAGTAGCTGTGAAATCAAGTCTGACAGCATCAGCAGTTACCTCTTGCAGTTGAGATCTTCAGAGTTCCCTGAAGAATATGTCTATGCAGGGGTTTTTTTAATGGTACCTGAGTATTTTAGCACTATAAAATTGTATGTATGTGGCATGTCTGAGGATCTTGACTCATTCTGAGATTATCAACACTGGGAAACCAGTAATGCTTCCGTTGTAGTCCACTTACAACTCTGACAGGGATTTGGTTAATTCATATCTGCAATATCTTGGCCTTTGGACCTGATATCCTGTAGGTTTTTGATAGTGTGCCCTGTCCTCCAGGAGCTGCTGAACTGCTGTTGTAATACTGTCACCTGGCACAACGCAGCCAGAACTCAGAGCACTTGTGTTCTCCTTCAGGACCTTAGGACAGAGTGTCTGTGCTGGGCTGGGTGCTCACTGCAGTGCTGCATCTTCATTTACACTGAATTTGAAGTACAGAGCCCAGACTGGTTTAGTCACCTGTACATTTAAATTCCCGGCGCATCCAGAGTATCACCCAGTAATGTTTTTTCTGAGATGCTGATGTCCCTGGCTCAGGACTGGTGTCCCTGGCTCAGGACTGGTGTCCCTGGCTCAGGGCTGACCCCCTGACAGTGCCTTCCCTGCAGGGATTGCTGTGTGCATTGGCATGGCCAGCACCTTCGCCTACGCCAACTCCACGCTCCGAGAGCAGGTCGCCCTGAAGGTGAGTCCAACATTTCACCTCCTTGTATTCCCAGGAAACATCACCCTCTGTGCACAAAACAACACCTTCTTTGGCACTGGAGGGCTGAACGCATTTATATGGGCACAGATCTTTAGGAACAAAGAGTGCTGTGCCCTAATCCCACCTTCCTCTTCCTACTTCTCCACACTGATGCTCTCCCACTGTTTCTACCCTATTTTTTCGTGAGTGTGAACGTAGTAAACAAAGAGAGGACAGGTCAGGGGTGTTGTAATCTGCATCTCCCCGTGCCACTGGCTGGCAGTGCATCTTCCAGCACTTCTCTGCACCTTGGTTTCCCCATTTCGGCAGCAGTGCTGGAAGCTATTTGACTTATTAATGATGAGATTTAACTTATTAGCATTTAGATCATGTTTTGAGGTGTTTAACTGAAACATTTTGCAGATGTGTTGCTTGTTAGCATCTTTATAATGCTCTGTTGAGAATGTACAGAAACCAGCAGACCTTTCCAGGCCTTTTGATCTTCAGTGTCAGAAGAACAGTTCAACTAGCACCAAAAGCACAAGACTAGAATTCCTTTTTTTATTAAAATTACATGGGTGGCACAAGTGTGTACTTGTATCTACCAGCAGCAGTGGAATAAATGTGCTGCAATGCTGAATGAAGAGAGAAATTGCACAATCATGTAATAGATGGCTGTTGCCTTGCACTTTGCACTCTCTCCTTCCAGCAGTGTGCCCCTTAATCCCCCTGCTTTAAATCTCAGCCTAACATCCCTGCAGAGACCTATTTCCTTAATAAATCAGCTCACAAGAAAAATGGTGGGTGTTTTTTCCCTCCCAGGAGTAAAATTTACTCTTCAAAATTACCCTGGGCCAAGACCCAGGACAAGATCTTCTGCCATCCAGCTTCTGTCTGTAATGTCCCATGTATTTTGAAATGCAGCACTTGCACTTCTTTTTTGACCTTCAGTTACTTCCTCGATCAAAAATGCGTGTTCTGGAACCTCCCTGCATTTGGATAACACTCAGATGTGCTGCAGGTGGTGATGGGTTATATTTGGTTTAGCTGAGCCTTCCTCTCACTCAGAGGATCTGTTTGTAAAACCCCTCCTTTGATGAGGTGTCACTCCCACCAGGTGACAGCTCAGAATTTAGGACAATACATGGAACTGACTTTTTTTTTTTTTTTAATCTGCTTGTCACACTGAGTTTTAAATACCAGCAGAGTTTAGATGTCCCAGGAAAGATCTCAGCTTTGAAGATTGCATTCTGCAAGGAAGGCTGTCACCTCCCCCAGCATACTTCAATTAATTTCCCTGAAGTTACCTTATTTGAAAGGTTTGCTGGGTGAGAGCCATTTCTGCCTGTGTTTATATGTGTCCTTACCTAGCAGCCTGCTTCTGAGCCTTAGTCCTGTGTAAATAAACTAATTACTGAACACTTAGATACATATTCGTGTCCCCTGGGATGGGCACAACCCACAAGACTTCCAATTTATCTTCTCTCCTTCTTTCTCTTGCCCAGGAGAAGAGATCAGTGCTGGTTGTGTTCTGGATCCTGGCCTTTCTCACTGGAAACACCTTGTACTTGCTTTACACATTCAGCTCTCAGCAGCTCTACAACAGGTGGGCAGATTCACATTGTTCATGCTGGAAGCAGGTGATAATTTCCAGGGAGGAGAAGAATTTCCCACTGTTCCCCACACTTTGGAAGTGTTCATGCCTAAAGCACCTGCTGTCTTGGCTGCATCTTTGTCATAGCTTTCAGTGGAGCAGAAGGAGGTGTGTCTTTCTGCAATCAGTGGCATAGCCAGGGTGGAAATGGGGGGTGAGGACACACGACGTGTTTCAGAGCAGGGTGGACCCTTTTTAACAGGGACCTCTGAATTTCCACTTTGACTGCAGGGGCTGAACATACAGAGCAGGTGCCAGAAGCAGATGAGGCACAGACCCACTGATTTTCCTCTTCCTGTAATGTTTTCTCTTCAATCTGTCAAGCTTTGAGTGCAGGACAGGAGATAAACAGGAGGTGAAATAGTAGTGTTTTACTTCAGTGTCCTCAGGGCTTGGAAGCACTTGGATCTGAGGTAATTAAGACACCCTTGACTTTCAAATTCTCACTAAAGCAGTTCTCAGGTACAGAAAAGTTTGTACCAATGGATTTTGTTCAGCACTACCCTTAGTTACCATAAAGTCTGTAGGAATTATGACAGACAGGAAGCAAAGATACACAAGCAAGGAGATGTTAGTAGAATAAATAGGAAGAAAATGGAACAACATCAAACCTAATTATTTAGAAAGTAATTTTGATATTAGGAGCCAAAACCATATGAATTATCTCCCTCATTAGAATTTTCTTTGTCCCACTGAAGGGGACTTAGAACTTGAAGCTGAAAATACAACGTGCAGCAGTTGGGTTATGGCTACACAGCTCTTGGGTTTGGTTTCTCTGCCAGTTGTTTCATTGCTTCCCTGCTTCTTCCCAACGATGCTGTCTATGGGAATAGCCAAGGTCTGCCCCTAACCCTGGTGTCCTTTGGAATTGCCCCTAATGGATTTGGATTTGGTCACTGGAAAAACTCTGTATGTAAATGCTTCTGGAAAGGGGGAGAGGTGAGAAGGCTTGAACATGTGGGTCCAAATGGGAGATGCCAAGCCATGGGATCCCCTGGATATGGCTCGTGGGAGGGACTGGAAGAGAAACAGGAATGGCAGAAAGGTGTGGAAGCATCGAGAAGGAATTTGCATCCCAGGGAACCTGTGTGTCTGTAAGGTGGTGGTCAGGGTTAAAAACATGGATGGGACTAGTTTAAAATAGAGGGTAGATCACCCAAAATAAAGGGCTTTCAGCAAATTGGGGCCACCCTACACACAGTTTAGGGCAGGGCTTATTACCAGTGGGCAGGCTGGGCACATTTCCATGGAGAATCCCTGTTCCTGGGAGTACTGCTGTGTCATGCTTGGGCTGGTGCATCTGTTGCCTGCTGTGTGGGGACCTGGGACTATTCACAGGGCAGGCTTGTCAAATTAGAAGTAGCTGCTTCATGTTTGTTTCTTTCTGCCTTATTTTTCATTTCCTGATTTGTTTATTTTTTTCCTAGTGTTTTAATTTATTTATTTATTGTTTCTAGTGCACGAATAGTAGTAAAGCCTCTGATTCTGTTTCTGTTTTTAGGGTGTAATTTTACCTGTTGTGCTGTGCCAGTGTTGTGAGTATTTTAAATTCATGTTCAGGCCTTTCATTTCGGGTTGGTTATTTTACTTTTGCCTTATTTTTTTGTTGGTTTTTGTTTGTTTTTTTTTTGGTTAAGTGTTTGCTTTCTACCACGAGGCTTTAGCAGCTAAACACCCTGAAGACAAATCCTGGTTTTTCAGCCTCAGTAGGGTCCAGTCCTCATTGCTGCTCGGGTCAGTGGCTCCTGCCCGTTGCTGTGTGGAATTCTGCTGTCCCAGACTCCACTTTTTTCAAAGAGCAAACATTGAGCAGGACTTCCCAGAGTAAGGTTTTACATTCAGATCACAGAATCAGACAGAGCTGAAGGCACTGCCTGCACACCAAAGGCTCTGGTGCAGTGTGGAGTGCAGGTGGTGGAGTTTGCAGCCTTCCAAAACAGGTTTGGGTCCTGTTTGGTGGTAATGGGCAAACCTGGTGACCTCAGGAGAACAAGAGCAAAGCCAAGAGAGGAAGCAGGGCACTGATTTGCATGTGTGACTCCTGCTGCCCTTGGCAATTCCCCTGGGGCTCAGGGGAGTTTCTGGGCTCTCTCTCTAGCCAGCAGTGGACACAGGAAGCTTGAGTGAGGTTCTCACTGGTGTTTTGGTGTCTTTCAGCCTGATCTTTCTGAAGCCCAACCTGGAGAGGCTGGACTTCTTTGACCTGATGTGGATTGTGGGCATTGCAGACTTTGTGCTCAAGTACCTCACCATCGCCCTCAAATGCCTCGTGGTGGCCCTGCCCAAGATCATCCTGGCTGTCAAGTCCAAGGTAGGAGACTCCTCTTGATGTACAAATATTTATCTTTGATAATCTGATACCTTTAGAACACGTTTGCAGCGTGAAATCCCAGAATCCCAGAATGGTTTGGGTGGGAAGGGACCTTAAAGCCCATCCAGTGCCACTCCCTGCCATGGGCAGGGACACCTTCCACCAGCCCAGGTTGCTCCAAGCCCCATCCAACCTGGCCTTGGACACTTCCAGGGATCCAGGGGCAGCCACAGCTTCTCTGGGCAACCTGTGCCAGGGCCAAATATGAATGGAAGAATAAAAATAATGAAATCTCTTCATAAAACTTTGGCACTCGGGTATCAAGGTTTGGGGTTTGAGCCATCACAGACCTGAGCAAGGGTTTGGTAGCACCAGCAAGTGATGGAAGTCCAGAGATGAGGAATGCATTGCTGGAGGAGGAACAGGCACTAGCAGTGAGGTAACAGCTTGTCTGGTTGAATTCCTTGTTTTCTGAGCAACCTCTGTAAATACATATTTCTGAAGCACAAATCACTTCATGGGAAGAAACTGCAGGTACTTGTGTCTTTGGCTTCCCACTTGGGCCAAAGCAGTAACAGGATTAAATTGAAGCTCCTGGTGCCACAAAAGACAACACCCCTTCTACATAACCACGGGTGAAGAAATATTTGAATGCTTAACGTATTTAAATTATTATGAAGTTATTCGTAGACTAGGCCTAACTTTGGAAACTCCCTCACTACGTTCTCTCCCTGAAAATACCTTTTCATGTGTTTTTACCTGCACAGATCTGTCATGCTGCCTCTTTATCCACTTGGTAGCCTCTGCATTCCAGTGGCAAACACAGAGATGTGTATTATTTGCATCCAGTAAAGGAACTTTCTGGGAGCTGTTGGGATGAAAGGCACTGTATAGATGCAAGATACCATCATTAATCCCTGAAAAGTCTCAGGCAGGGCACTTAGGAGGATATCTAAACTGGGAATAGTTTTGCTATAAATGACAGGGGTGGCAGGGGAGTTGAGCAGTTTGTTCCTGCACAGCAGGGCTATTTGAGATGGTTATTAATTTATTTCTGGCAATTGTCCAACTTTTTTTTTTTTTTCCCTTCTTCTATTATTATTATTATATTTTAGGAGATTAATGTGCTGGGTCAGAGCATAATCCAGCCTGGGGAGGGAGGGAAAAGTGATGTGAATAACCTCCCCAAGATAAATTGCAGCGTTGGAAAAGGTTCACAGCCTTTGCTTGCCTGTCTGAGAGCTCTCCCAAGCACTCATTAATCCTTGTCTGGAGAGAAGAAAGGGAAGGGGTCTTTATTTGCAGCTACAGGGGGAGGCTGGTAAGATCACATCTGTCAGGGGCCTGTAATGACTCAGAGCACAGATGCTTCATTTTTAATACCTTTTTCTGGAGAGCAACACTTCTCACTTTTTTCAAGCCCCATTTTTGTCCAAGGATGTTGTTGACGGGCTCGGTGTCCCCTGACATCTCAGACTGCTGCTCCCTGCCACCACAGAGCTGGATTCTTCTCCCCCACTCTGCACTGCCAACCAGGGATGAGATCTCAGGGGACAGACCTCAGCTCCTTCTGAGTTTGAACAGTTCTACTGCAACTTAGGCACGTTAACTTGGACCAAAATATTTATTATTTGCTGTCTTAACACTTGCCAGATACAAAGTTATGCTCTGCTTCCCCAGGTGCTCCTACCAGAGCTTCTGCTTTAAGCCCAGATGGGAGTTTGTGAGCTTGTGGGTGGCTGTCACTTAATGGTATCGTGCTGCTGGAGAAATATAAATTAAACTAGAGGAAAGGTAGATTTTTTTTCAAGATATACATATATATAGTGAGAATTTTTGTGCCAATATAACCAGTCAGAACAGCTCCCCTAATGCAGGGCCTGAAGGGGAAGCTGCTGCCCTCTCAGGGGTGGAGTTCAGCCCAGCTGTGAGTGGGACACAGGGATTTCATCCTGAACTTCCTTGCAGGCCTGGCAGTCAGCAATAACCACAGAGCTTGTCCAGGGATGGGATTTGAGGAACTTTGATCACTGTGCTCTCAACCTCTGAGCAGACTCTTCAGATTTTTCCTCATTTTGGAAGTTCCAAGGCACCTCCAAGGCCAGGCTGGCTTTTCGTGCTGCTCCTTGAGGTTCTGGTGTTCTCTGGGTGCTCTGTGCTCTTCACTGCTGCTTGCAAGGCACTTCCTCTGAATATCCTCCTTTAAGTCTCTTACCTCTCCGTGTCCACTGGGATTGGAGCAAGATCAGATTCTTTTCTTTCTGTTCCAGTCTTCCTTTCTCCCCTCAGTCTTCTCTGGAGACTGAACACCATCAATTTTTTGAGTCTTTTCTCAGAGATTTTTAATTCCAGATCTTATTATTCTCTTCTGGACTGTCTTCATCCCTTCCTGTTTTCCAGAGCATTTCTCCAGCCTGTCAGGATGAGTTTGGATTATAATCCTTCCTTCTATTGCATTTACAGCCTTTCCCAGTTGAGTGTCAGATTTGATAAACCCACTCTGTTCCATCGAGATCATTGATGAAAACAGTGAATAGCACTAAACTCTGCTTCCCTCAGACGCATTTTGACAGTGAACACATAAAAAATTTGGGCTGGAGCACTCAGTTCTGCCCCCCCTAAAGTACCTGGGTCGTGTATTCCTAGCATGGCAACTTTTGGTGTAGGATAACATTTGCATTTACAGCATTTAAAAGCAAACTAAAATTGAAAGGCAGAAAAATAAGGTTGTCTTTGCAATCAGAACACAGAGGGCAAGAAACATGCCCAGGAATGCTTGAAGTGTGAAGCATGAAAACTGATATATTATGTATTATATTTAGGGTACAACTAGCCAGAGTTCTCCAGGCTTGAATAACTCAGAAATGGAATATCTCTGCAACAAACTCCTCCAGAGAATGAGGGAAGACTGAAAAACTTGACAAAATAATCCCAGGCCTTGCCAGGCTCCAAACCAGCCTGGAAAACAGAGGTGCCAAGAGAGGCTGTGAGGGTGCAGTCAGGCTGGAAAGCAGGGAAGGAAGGGCTGGTAAATGGGAGAGAAAGTCAGGGAAAGGGCTGATCTCACACCTCTGAGTCAGTGGAGTTGGCAGAAAGATCAAACCTGTGGCTGAAGGTGTCCCTTCCTCCCCCACGAGCTGCTGGGCACGTTAAGCCAAGTTCAAGTTTTAATTTCAGCTGGGCTCATCATTTCTTTGGAAGAGGGGGGGTTTGGCTCCCACCCTGCTCTCTCCATTAAAAAAAAAAAAAAAGGCAAATAAGATCATTTAGTTCAATATAAAATGAATTAAAGTAAATTAAACTGCAGGAGCCATGTGGCCTTGCAGAGGCTTCCATTGTTGTACACCCATGGATGGCAGCTTTTCATTTGCACTGCTGAGGAATGACAGCTTGAGGGGGGTGGAATTAAAAATAAGGAAATAAATAATAAAAAGGCACACTTGCCAAAGATTTCACTTAGGAAATCCCAGGTGCCTGCAAGTCTCCCATCCCCTCCTCATGCTCCTGTCAGCAATCCGAGCTGGTTATCCTGGAGGATGGAGTGAGACAAAAGAACTGTAAGGAACTGGGATCCCAGGGTTTTTTATATATGTATCCTTATCCCTAGAGGGGAGAAGGACATTTTTCCAATTATCTTAATGGGCTGGTACATGAGAAAGACCCTAAGTTGGAATTTTCCTTCTGTGCTCAGTACAGATGTGCAGCCAAGTTCCAGGGAGCTGCATTTCCAGGAGGCTGGAAATTCAGAAGGAGAACATTTTAACACTGGCTCGTTGCAAACACAGCATGAAATAAATGACTGTTGGTTAAATACTTGTCAGATTGACTTGAAAGCTGGATCCAGACACTGCAAATGCCATTAATCCCATGAATTTGTCTTTATGCTGCTGAAATGCTGTCAGTGGCAAGTGTACAAGCACTGCTCCACCCTTGCACTGGGGACCCCTCACTGCAGCTTTGAAAATATTTGCTTGGTGGTTTGGTTGTTTTTTTTTTCCCAGTTGACTGTTTTATTAGTGCTTTTTATTTTTAAAGTACCATCTCACCGAGGCTGGTCAGAGAAAACCCAGCCTGTGTGTTGCTGCAGTTCTTTACCCGGTTCTGCACTTGGATTTTAGAGCAAATATGATGAAAACAGTGAATAGCACTAAACTTCAGGTGCATTCCATGTTCCCTGACATTTCCTGGCATGGGTGGTTACAGCTCTGCCATGTAAATTGGCACATCAAGCTTCCCATGTTCCTTCTGAAGCTGCACCTTTTTTTTGTTGTCCTGAGGAAATAAAGGTCCCTTGGAGCATTTGAGTCCTCTGGATGCTGATCCAAAAATCCAGGAGTGTTAAAAAAGCACTGGGAGCTGGCACATAGATGAGTTTTAGGAAAAATAACCCAGGTGAAGATGTTCCTTATCTGTGCTCTCTTCTACTGTGAGATATGCAGGTTAATCCTGGTCTTCCCTAAATTTAACATGGTTAAAGTGGTGTTTCCAGGCAGGATAACCCATCCTCTAATTACCTTCTGACCTTGGGTACTCTTTGGAGGAACTCTGGGACAGATTCCCCAGTCTTTGATCCTCTGGAGCCACAGAACCAGGTGATGTTCTGCAAAGACTGTTCTCTGCTTTGGCCTGGACAGATGAGGTGTCCCAGCATCACAAGCATGGGATTTATTATTTTCCAAAAGAAAAAGGGCAACTAAAGCATCAGAGCCAGGCCCTGAGGAGTGGGGGCTCTTCTGTCCCCCTCCCTGACACGCTTTGCAAGACACTGCTGCTGAACTTTAAAAGAATCATCACTCCCAGGGGCTTTCCCACTTGAACTTCCCAATTTAAGATGTCCCAAGATGAGACTTTCAGAAGCGAAATTCTCATTTTTTTCCCCTCTAATCCCACCTGGAAATTCCTCCTCATTAGTCCTGCCTGGATTTTCAGCAGCACAATGTGCCACAATCCTGTTTCCTGCTCCCACTTCCCTGCCCTGGCAGTGTGACCTGCAGTCCCAGCAGAGATCTCTCCTCATCCAAATTGCCACAGCAGGTCCCCAAAGTTTTTTCCCAGCATCCTCCTGTGTCAGAATAAGCCCTAATGCTGCTGGCAACAGAACAAGTGAGACTTGGAGCTTCCCTTGAGTGCTAATCACGACTTACAGTTGCCTCATTGCAACTTCTCTCACTTCTCCTGCATCCCATTTTAATTCCACCGTGTCAGACCTTACCCTGCCTCTCTCTTCCCTCCTGCGGAGGCACAGGCACTTATGCAAAGCCTTGTGTCAAAAGAAACCACAAAATCAAGGCTCACTTGGGCTCTGGGGGAATTAGCATTTGCCTCTGCAGCTGCAAATTTTCCCCCCTTTGCTCTGTATATATTGGGATTCAGTTTTTAATTACACCATTCCATGTCGTGTCACTGTAAGGCTCCTTCCCTCCATCACCAGTGCCCCAAGGATGAAGGTGAGATATTGAAAGGAGCTGTTGTAGCAACTGGAAAGCTCATAGAAAACAAAGACCACTGGAAGAGGAACATTCTACAGGTTCAGGTTTCTACACTGGAGAATTGAATTCTGTCCTTTACTTCGCCAGATAATTCCTGTGTGATTCTAGAAAAGTCATGTACAGCTGCAGACTGGAGTCAGGGGTTCAGCTTTTAATGGTAATGTGATCTATAAAATGAAGTGCTTTATAAAAAGTCTAATCCCAGGCATCTCAGCTTGGACACCAAACCAGCCTTACCTTGACCTCCATCTTTCTGTGCCTCGAGTTTTCATTTAGGAAACGCAGGGAACAGCTGTCCCTGGGGTCAGCCCTGTGAAAATAAGGGGGTTTGAAGAGTGGTTTTGTAGTGGTGATGTCATAAAGGAACTGAAGAAATGTTAGAAATTTGCTCCTCTGAGCAGGAGGAAGGGATCAGATGCAGGTCTGCCATCAAGTGATGAGGATTTAACAAAATACTAGGAAGCTGCGTGCTTAATGTGCAAAAAGGGTTTACCCCTTACAGACCAAAACACTGCATGTACAGAAGGAAAAGGGCAACTGGGTGAAGATCCTGAACTCTCCTCTCTCAAAAGAAGTGCTTTGTTTGAAGCATAAAAATGGCCTTTCTGTGGTGAGGGAGGTGCAGGAAAATGGAGGGTTACACACGAGTCACTGACTCGGTTTTTAACAAAGCTCTGGAAAAAGGGAATCGGAATTTCCCAGTGTGGGATCTCGGGAACTGCTAAAATCAGATCCCCAGCACAGCCCTTCCCCTCATGTGCTAATGAGCTCTTTGATGGTGGCCTGGCAGGGTCAGCAGTGTCCTTCTCACTTCTGGCTCAGGCAGGGGTTTGATGAGAGCAGAGCCCCTTTTCTGGCCCTTGTAGGGGACATAATTGCAGGTAATACCCTGTTTAATCTCTGCAGTTCAGGTTGGCTCCTGCACAGTCCAGTCAAGCATTGGCACTGACTCACAGGCTCACCAAAAATAGATTTTGCTGCTCTTAGAGAGCCCTTCAGCTCTATACAGTCGTGCATTCCACAGAAGATTCCCAGATTTACACAGATCTTTATGAAATGTGAACTCACCTAACAGAGACAGGCCTTGCCTTATTTCCAGCTGTTGTTCCAAGAGAGATGCACATGAAAAATAGTTGTATTTGTGCTTGATATAACCTTGATGAGAAAAAAAAAGCTGAAATACTTGAGCTTTTCAGACAAAATACAGCTGGAGACAAAGATTTATCTTTGAAAACTGTAACCTAGATATCCAAGATGTAACAAGGCTGAGGAGTGACAGAGAGGTGTGTTGGGTGTCCTTACCAGTGGTGGGTGCTGTCTGCAGCAAGTTACTGCCATCACAGATCTACATTTTGCTGCTAAAGTTGTAGGGAACAACCCTTGTTTTCCAAGCTTCTGGCTCAGAAGGGAGACCCCACTTCTGCTGCAGCCCTTTGTAAAGTCACTTTTGATTTTCTGGCACTTTTTCTAGTTTAAAAAAGGGGCTGGTGTGGTGCACTGAGATGCCTGACAAGACTTAAAGTTCTGTAAGCACTTTCTAGTTCTCTTCTAAGTGTTGCTTCCTCCTGGATTCACTCTAAACTTATCAACCTTTAGTGGTCAGGTGGGTGCTGTTAATGGGCTGCATGGAGAGGAAGCATCCTTCAAATCTGAACTTCACTCTTGTGGGGGCTGTGAACGAGTTTCTAGCTGCTGAGAAATCCTGGTACCCTGCAGTTCCCACTGAAAACCGAGGATGTGCAATGGATAAAGGAGCTCTGAGAGCTTTGGGAAGGGTGGAGATGTCGTGGTAGGACAACTGAAGTTGCGTGTTCATTTTAGAGCCACGTTCTGCCCCTTCCAACTCCACAGCCTGGCTGCCCCTGCCCCACCTTTCCTTACATCTTGCTGCGGGCTCTGGCGTTTCAGTGCCTCAAAACTTGTGTTGTGAGCCGGATTTCAGCTCTGGCACCCCAAATTCTGGGCGCAGCAGCTCCATCTGATGCAACGGGAGAGCAAGAAGTGACCTGTCCCATCCCGGCTCCTGGTGAGGCAAGGATCCAGGAGAGATGAGGGGTGGGAGGGACGAGTCAGGGAAAACAAAACAGTTTGCTGCCTTTCTCTTGCCGGTGGCTTTCATCAGAGGGGAGGCAGTGACAGCACAGTGACCCTCTGCCCAAAATAAACGATGATTGCATCGAAGCACGGGGCTGGAGAGAGAGAGAGAGAGAATGAGAGAGAGAGAGACCTCGGCGCTAATTTAATAAATTGCTCGCGTTTAGGATCGCTGCCGGTAGGTTTTGTGCTCCGTGATGCCACCTGGGATTCAGGGGGAGGAGGGGAGAGGCAGAAAGGCAAGAAAGCTGCCCGGGTCCGTTAGCAACCGCTGGTGTGACCTCACTCCGCGTCCCGGGGGGGTATGAGATCATGAGCATGCCAGAGCTCTCCGAAGGATTCGATTTGTTGGGAGCAGCAGGATGGCCTGCGAGTGATCTCATCCCCAGCCCCCGGGGAAGGGCGCTGGCTGCTGCCGAGCCGCCTGCCAGGACTTAATCCCCGCTCCAAACCTCCCCAATTAGCGATTGGCCTGCGGTGACATCACTGATGACAAAGCGAGCAAAATTCCAGGGGAATTTCCCCCTTCTCCGGGATCTTATCGCATGAAAGGGTTTTTGACGTGACTAAACCCAAACCTTTCAGCCCGGATAAGGTCAGTGGAGATTAAAGGATCTTGCCCTGACCCAGTGCCCTGCCACCGGCGTGGGACAGAACATAAATGAACAGGTCCTCATTAGGACTGGCCCTAAATTAGATCCCCCTTGTTCAACCAGCTTCCTGCTCGTAGGGAAGAAATAAAAATAGAATTGATAAAATATATAAAAAATATATTTTATATATAAAATATATGTTTTATATATAATATTTTATATATAATATTAAAATAGAAGTGATGTGGTAAGAAAAAAAAGGCACCTCGTGGTTGCAGCGAGCCAGGAGGGAATGTGTGTCACCTTCCAGGTGTCCCTCAAGGAGGGAAAGCTTTCTGTGCCCAGTAAACACCGGGATGGCAGGGACAGCTTTACTGAAGGTTTTTACACAGGATGTTGCCCATTCTTTGAGTCTCTTTTGAGAGAGAAGTGTTTGAACCATCAGGCTTCACCCTCCCCCCTTCCTCCTTAAGGTCCTCTGGAAGTATTTTGAATTTCAATGCCCTGAGGGTTTGTTTTTCAGCACCAGTTGTTTTATCTTTGCTCTGTACAAGAGCCAACACGCACCTGAGTGGAAGGGCAGGGATAAGGATGCTGGCAAAGGGATAATTAGTTTGATCTGGAAAGTTGTCAGGAAGTCTGATGTCACCTTACATTTAATCTCTGTACCTTCAAAAAGGTATAAAATCAAAGAGGCTTCCCCTTGCTTTGCTTTTCTCATAATTAATAGCATCCACCATTTACATCCTATTAATCCTGTAAGTCTTAACTCTGCTGCAGCATTAAGATGTGTGTCCATAACCTGCTCTAGAATGTAAAATTCCAAAATGTAGAACAGCTGGGTAAGGGGCAGAGCAGGAGGAGCACCGTGAAAGAATGAAGTGACAATTATCCCTTCAGAGTTCAAAAGCAGGTCCCTGCCCCGTTTAACAGAGTGAACACTGCTCTTCTTTTGGCCTCCTGACACTTCCCTTGTGTGGTTTCCCAGGGCAAGTTTTACCTGCTCATCGAGGAGCTGAGCCAGCTGTTCCGCTGCCTCGTGCCCATCCAGCTGTGGTACAAATACATCATGGGAGACGATCCCTCCGGCAGCTACTTCCTGGGAGGGATCCTGATCATCATGTACAGCCTCTGCAAGGTGAGCACCACCCCTGCAGTGACCTGCAGCACAGCTGAGGGGAACAAATCCCCCTCCTGTCCCTGCCCAGGAAGGGACCTGCAGCTGCCAGAGGCATTTTGCATCCCTGGCCCGTGGGCATGGCTGAGCTGGGGAAGGTCTGTGGCTGCTCAGGAGTGTTGCATCAGACTCATGAAGTCATTGCTGCTCTCTAATCCCTTCCTGCAAAGGCTGGAGGAGAAGGGGAGAGCCTTGGGGGGAGCAGTGCTGGCGTGTTCAGCTGTCTGCAGCCTTCCAGATGCAGCACTGAAAAGGCAGGTTGCAGTTTAATGTTTCTCTCTGAGCTTTCCTCTGCCTTTCCAGGCAGGGTGGGTGCTCTGTCACTCACAGCAGGCAGGGAGAGGGGTATCCAAGTCCTGTCTGCATAAAACAGGTAGTTCTGCCCCATTCTAGGTCCTGGTCTGGCTGCTGCAAGTGCAGGATCCCAGTGATGGACAAGGGTAATTAATGTGTCCTCAGAAATAAGAACGTTAAGAGCACAAAGTCTGTCTGTTCAATTGTGAGTAAGTGTAACTTTATAAATAAGAGTCCCAAGTCTGAGGTCTAGAAATAGCTGTATTTCTAACTGTGTGTGTTAAACCCTGCCCAAACAGGGGTATCCCTGTGGTATCCATCCCTCTGAGAAAGGCCAGGTGAGTCAGGCTGGCTCCATCCCTGTGCCTCTGGCTTTGCAGGAGCAGACTGAAGAACAGGGAAGAGGGAAGATATCCCAGCTGAAAACAGAGGGGCTCAGGGGGGCCCACCAATTCTAAATCACACTGTAGCTCTCATTGCAACAGTTGCAGCTCTATGTTATGTAGAAACAGGGCCTGGTTAACCCCTCCTGTCAAGGAATTGTCAGTTCTTGTGAGCAGGAGAGGCAGAGGAGGTCGTGGGAAGTGATTTGGTCACAGCAGGTCTGAGATCAAGCCCAAACCAGAGCAAACAGTGCCAGAACAGAAGCACATGAGACCAGTGCAGCTCCTGCACACCCACCAATTCCCTCAGCTCTGTGCTCCCTGCTCTTTTCTCTGGGAGAGGATTGTTGCCCCTTTCAGAGGTGCCACTGCCTGGATCCCCTGGAGGCAGCAGGATCCAGCCCTTTCCTGCCCTCCTGGCCTGGGACCTCAGGTGTTCAGGTCACAGGTACAGGAACAGATTTCAAGTGATCTTTCCTGTGTCCTTTCTTGCAAAAGTGACTCAACACCTGGAAGAGGGATGGATGCTTACCTGCAGTTCCACCTGCCATTCCTTCCACCTGGAGAAGTCCTCCCAGCAGCAAGAAGCAGTGGGAGCCTCTGCTCCTTGGAGGAAGGGGAGCCAGCCCCAAACCCCAGGCTGAGCTTAAATAGAGCTGCTGGGCCCCTGGGCAGGGACTGTGGGTGCAGAGCCCAGGGCAGGCTCCTCAGGGCCATGAGGGGCTGTTAATGCCCCCAGGGCCCACTGGTGTGAGCAGTTCTTTTGGGGTTCACTTGATGTTTCTGTGCTATGAAGCTTTTACAGGTAGTGTGGGATGACCTGGGGTGGAAAAGCCACCTCATTTTGGTCAGTTCTGCTGGTCTGTTCTTCAGAAGCTCTCTGAGGGCAGGACAGCTGTTTTCCAGCCTTGCCTATAACTTGGGCCCAGGACTGTGGGGCACCCTTGGGAAGGTGCCTTGGCTGCAGCCCGTCCCTGGGACATGCACATTCCTTCCTTGAATTCATCCAGCTCACCAGGGGGATAATGGAGGGATGGGCCAGGGGAAGGGTGCTAAACCCAGGGACGTGTCCCAGGTAATTGTGTGGCAGCTCCTGAGCGTGTCCAGGTCAGGGTCAGCCCCCAGCACACAGAGACTGTGCTTGGAAGTGAAGGAAAAGTGGGATCACGCTCCTCCAACACAGAGCCAGGAGTGCCAGGTGTGTGCATCCCATTCACAGCCACAGGAGCTGCAGGTCTAATTCCTTGCCTGAGACACTGAGGATATCCCCAGGGGAGCCCACATTAGCAAAGCCACAAACCACATTAGAAAAAGCCACAGAAGCCAATTTGGCACCGAGAGCTCCTGGCGAAAATCCAGGGCTCAGCTGGGGCTGCAGCCCCTTCCCCTGCACAGAGGGCAGGATCAGGGGCACTCCCAGAGGGTTCTGTGTCCTGCAGCTCCTGGGAGCTGTCCTGGTGCCTCTCTCGGGGCTGTGTAGACACAAACCCTCTGATTTTGGTGAAGAAATCCCAGATGTTCACCAGCAAGAGCATCCGGGGCTTATTTTGTCCCCATCCTAAACAGAAGCATTCACTGTCTGTAACCCAGGTGTTAAAATGATGAAAGGCAAGATGAAGGATGACTGATGCACCACACTTCAGTGCATGGGTGAGAAATGGGTGTGAGACCACTCAAACAGCAGCTCTTGGGGTACAGGGGGAAAATATGAAGGGGGAAAGTGGACTGGGAGAAGAGGAGATACATCAGAGCTGGAGCAGAGGCATTAGAAGCCACACTGTAAGCAAAGCAAGCAGAAAAAGTCTGAGAAATGGACTGTGGAAAAGAGCTGATCCTCGTTAGGAGATGAAAAGT